ACTGCATTCAGAAAGTATTCAGACCCCTTCACTTTTGTCAGCTTTGTTATGCTGCAGCCTGATTCTACAGTTGTTGAAATTCATGTTTTCCTCATTAATCTAAGTGCAGTGCCCATAATGACAAAGTGCAAAGAGAATTTTAGAAATGTCTGTAAATTTATTTTAAAACAAACAAACTAACAAACAAACTGAAATATCTCATTGCCATAAATATTCAGGCCCTTTGTAACATTACCTGTGAAATTTAGCTCTGGTGCCTCCATTTCTCTTGATCATTGCTGACATGTTTCTACACCTTGAAATGGAGTCCATCTGTGGTGAATTAAATTGATTGGGCATGATTTGGAAAGGCACACACCTCCCTATAGAAGGCATCCCAGCTCCCTAGAGTACTGCATCCAGTTTTGTTCATCACATTATAAAAAAGATGTTGAGACTCTAGAAAAAGTACAGAGAAGAGCAACCAGGATGATTAGGGGACTGGAGGCTAAAACATACAACGAACAGTTGCAGGAACTGGGCTTGGCTAATCTAATGAAGAGAAGGACCAGGGGAGACATTATAGCGGTCTTCCAATATTTGAGGGGCTGCCACAGAGAGGAAGGGGTCAAACTATTTTCTAAAGCACCTGAAGGCCAGACAAGCAATAATGGATGGAAACCGAACAAGGAGAGATTTAACCTGGAAATAAGGAGAAACTTTCTGACAGTGAGAACAATCAACCAATGGAACAGCTTCCCTCGGAAATTGTGGGAGCGCCATCACTTGAGGCTTTCAAGAAGAGATTGGACTGCCATTTGTCAGAAATGGTGTAGGGTCTTCTGCTTGGGCGGGGGGCGGGGTTGGACTAGATGACCTACAAGGACCCTTCCAACTCTGATTATCTGTTTGATATCTGTTTGACAATGCATACTGTAGCAGAGCAAAAACTCTGAGGTCAAAGAAACTGTCTGAAGAGCTCAAGAGACACGATTACTGCAAGGCAGAAATCTGGGAAAAGCTACAATAAAATTTCTGCTGCACTGAGCACAGTGGCCTCCATAATTCTCAAATGGAAGAAGTTTAGCGCAACCAGGACTCTTCTTCGAGCTGGTCACCTGGTCAAACTCCACAATCAGGGGTGAAGGGCTTTGGTAAGAGAGGTGACCAAGAACCCAATGGTCACTCTGACTGAGCTCCAGAAATCCTGTGCGGAGATGAGACAGAATTGTAGAAACCTGACCATCAATGCAGCCAATCTGTACTCGCTGCCAATCTGGGCTTTATGGCAGAGTAGCTACTACATCAGGGGTGTCAAACTCTATTTCATTGAAGGCCACATCAGGGTTGTGTTTGACCTCTGGGAAGGGGGGCTGGGTGTGTGTGGCCAGAGTGGGCATGGCCAGTTTGATGTCACTCCTGTCAGGAGCACCATTTTCAGTGGCAGAGGCACCGCGGGCCAGTCCTTCACGTTTCCTCTTATATACAGAATTCAGTCTTGGAGCTTGGATTAACAGCACAGCATTATGGAGAAACTCCATTACATGTGATTTAAAGGATCTTTATCCAGTAATAGCTAGCCATACCAAGCGAACAACTTCTCTCAGGAGCATGTTTTAGAAGCCAGGGATACCACAGCCAAGGCTGCTGCTATTCACGTTGCTTTTGAATTGATTTTCTGTAGAATCATGAAAAGAGATTTCATTGCAGACAACAAATCACAGAGGGCTTCTTCTGTTTATGCCAATGAATGTGCTCCATTGTACCTGCAACATCAATTCAAGCTTTAGAATTTTCATTCAGGTTCTCATGACCTCAGGAACTGTTAAAAAAAAATCCAATTTACCTAAATTTAACAAAACGTCCTACAGAGAAGGGAAGATAATACAATCTTTTGCAGCTTTTGCTAAACTTGAAAGAGGTGTCTAGACTAGACTCCTAACCCAAGGAGTATAACCCCGATCTAGGATATCTCACTCTATCCCTTTTCTCCAACCTACAATTTTATATTGAGGACCTATCATTCTTTTTGTTTAATTGGCTCTCACTTTACAATTACGCAAGACAAAATCCCTGCTTTTGTTTAGAACTGGAATAACATATGCTATAATAAATAAATCTTTCAAGATATTGGTCATTTTCATGCAAGTTAAGTGATTTGTTTGGTTTTGGCTTTGTGTATTGTGTAATCTCATCCTATTGCAATAGAGTTATCAATGATGGTTCAAAGTGTGTAAATTTAATCAACTTCAGTGATATGTGAGCTCAATAATACGGTGTTCTACCACCACACCAGCTGATGTTAAATTTTACAGCGACAATCAAATGCTTTTATTTCAATCCTCTGAATACATGAAAATCTGCGTCACAATAAGAACTGTATAAGGTAAATATCATTTGTAGATATCTGAATTTACACACAATAGAATTGCTTGATTAAATGATCCATACATTTGAGTTCCAAGTTAGGATTCATATTTCTCAACTACATTCTTATTTATAATCACAAAAATATGTTATGTGTATTCTAGCACTGTTTACACTTGTTATTATAAGCTCAGCAGAGGCATCCATGGCTAGCCGTGACATCACAAAGATGACAAACCATTAATGGACTAAGGCAAGCTGAATTGACTGTACATATTATCATCAGATGGAAATGTATACAGGGTAGATACATATATGTTGTGAAACCTTGATTCGTGCTTGGGAGTAACTTCTCCCTTGCAAATTCCCATACATCTCAGAGCAATTGTACAGGATTTATCTAGCAATCAGAGCACTGGAACCTTGTAGTAAAATTACCTGTATTTCCTTGAATTCATCAACAATAATTCTATCCTGGAAAGAAAGAATTAAAATCAAATATGACTAGAACCATATGCCAAATGCAGAGAAAATCAAATGCGTGGTGATGAAATTTCTTAGAAAAGTGGCTAATAAACATCTGAGGAAGCATCAAGGCATTTAATCAATACAGGCAGAATGTATCCATTACGGAGAACAACACCGACCAAAGAATAGGATGCTCTTTGTAGATCGCTGGATAATGAAAAAAAGGAAAGGATGGTCAATCTTGAATTCTGGCACAAACATTGCACACCGCAACATCATTACTGCAGCAGTGGCAGCAGCTGCCTCAGTGCCTTCCTCACTGACTTCTATGAATGTTTTGTGAACAACTTCAGATAGGACTAAATCTTTGTTAGTTGACATTCCAGAGAAGTCTGCCTTGCCCTCATCAAATGCGTCCGTCATTCCCATGCTTCTCAGAACAGGCTTCAGGTCATATTTTTCTTCCAATTTAAATTTGGGAAAGGAGAGTTCAATTTCTCCTTGGTCCATTATCTCTGGATCGATCCATTCCATGAGTTTCTCATATGTAATTTCTCTCTCCAGCTGAAATAAGATGAAAAGCATTAAAGGAGAAAGGAATTCCTGGTTGTATGACACCGTGACATATCCTAATAATTTCACTCTGGCAAAATATGATACAGTGATAGAAAAATCCTGAAGTCTTACAAGCAGTTGCACATTCTTCTATTTCCCTCTAGAATTTTAGGAAAGATAATTAAAAGTGACAAAAATAGACCTTCCTTAGAACCATATCGGTATCTGTTTTCTTAGTAGTGACAGGAAACTTCTACTGACTCTTATCAAGTACAGAGCATTGTTAGAGTAAAAGGTATTTTGAAGCTTGCCAAGAAAAAGAAGCAAATGTCTGTAAATCCTCCATTTTTGGACATATAGCCAATTACTTTGGTTGTTAAAATTGAAATTATTGTCATCCTAATGAAATAGAAAGATTAATTTGCCAGTGGAAATCAAAAGACAAATTAATTATGGATAACACATATACCCACACACATTTTATAACATCTGCGACATTATTTTGTATATTACCTTTCAAGTGAAATCGGAGACATTTCAACTTTCCTTATATGCTCATAAAGACTTTCATAAAGTTATCTTAGCGATGACCCAATTTACTTAAACTAGCATTTCATACTTTTTTCCCAACCTTAAATTTTCACTTCAGATTGCAAAAAAATAAATAAATCATCTGATGTCAGGCATTGCTGATCACGTTGCATAGTATCTTGGACAATTTTAATAGTTGAATGTTTTGTATTGATTTTACTTAATTCTAAAACCTCTAAGTTACAGCATAGCTACGCTTCTCCAAGTTTAAGTAAAACACAGCCAAGAACAAATACAAAGATGTAACCAAAAAATATAAATCAAAAGGGCTGCTAAATAGTAACTATGGGTAGTCTTCAATTTATGACCACAACAACTGTGATCAGAATTTCTGTTCTAAGTCATTGTGGTTGTAAGTCAAGCTGGACCCAATTTTACAATTTTTACGAAGGATGTTCAAAAGAGAATCACCACAGTTAAGAATCTCTGGTTGTCCCAAGTGTGCTGGAAACTGGCCTAAAAGGTCACAAATCATGACCGTGTGTCTATAGGACACTACAATCAGTTGTAGATGTGAGTTGTTTGCTAGGTACCCAACCTGCAATCACGTGAACACAGGGAGATGATATGACAGTCGTAAGTATGAGGAACAGGGTTTTTTCCAGCACTGTCATAATTTTGAATGGTCACTAAATGAATGGTCATTAAATCAAAGACTACCTATACAACTATCAGAAATAAAATTACCCTTTGAATGTGCAGAACATCGTTGTCAGCGTTCCAATGAAACTTCCCATTTTCATTCAACACTCAGAAACAAAGTTCATCCAAGTAAGAATTTATTTAAAAAGTCATGTTGGCATACCTGGGAAAACCCGAATTTGAGAGTTTTGGGTTTTCCCTTCCCAATAGAAATACAAAATCCATCCCCTGCACCCACCAGCCCATCACATGGTCCAATCAAACATCATCCCAACTGGAGACATTTCTCCACACTCCTCTCCAGGTACCGGGTGACATGTCCTTGACCTTATAAGAAGAATATTGTTGAGTCTAATGAAATCTCCCCTCCCAAATTCCCAGGCACTAAAATGGCAGCCTCGAAGCTTCTATGTAAAATATGGCTTCCAAGAGTGACAATGGTTTTGGTTATATCAAAAAGACAAGAATGGACACTAGCCTGTTCCTATGGAACAGTGGTGGGATTCACATTTTTTTACTACCAGTTCTGTGGCGTGGCTTGGTGGGCGTGGCAGGAGAAGGACACTGTAAAATCTCCAGTCAGAGGTGGAATTTGCCGGTTCTCCGAACTACTCAAAATTTCCACTATCAGTTCTCCAGAACTGGTCAGAACCTGCTGAATACCACCTCTGCTATGGAAGGGATATGATATAGCTGAGAGAATACTTCCCAAAAAATTTTTTTCCAGGCAGATCTCATCCGTCTCATCCTTTGGAGATGGACTCCAAAGGACTCTGTTTATTCCAGACAATATAGCCCTACTTTGTTTGGGCTAGCTGGAGCAGATGATACAATACTAGCATAATGTAACTCAAGCAACTAGTTCTTAATGAGTCCCTTGTATTGTCAGAAGTACTGCAAACTATTGGCAATCTTATCAATTGCCTTGACTACATCACTGGAACCACATCTTGTACCCAATGGTTTGGGACATAACTGCATTAGCTCATGCATTTGAGCTTTTTTGTTTTTTGCATCTTTTCAAAACAAGGGAAAACACAAGTCAAACCAATAATATAACTATAATTGCAGAAAGCCAAGCTTCAGTATTAAAAAAGGACAGCGTACAGCTAGTATCAGAGATGTTTTTAGATGGGCAAGAAAGAAAAACTCACCTTCTCCAATCCAGTAGAGTTATCTGCAATCTTTTCAGGGAGCAGAATGATCATGCTCAACTCATTACCAACATACGGAATCTCAAGAAGAGAAGTCTGATAGTCTGATATGTAGGTCGTGTTGTATTTCGCTTTCTTGAACATCATCTGCACAGTTTTGCTTTCATTCTACAAGTAAAGAATATTTATGTTAAAAGAAATATTTCAAATAAATAGGAAATACAAATTATTCTATCACCTATTCAGTCTTGGGTTCTTTCCTTCCCCCCCTTAAAGCTTTCATCTTTTTGTTTGACTTTTAAATCAAATTAGAATAGAATTGTTTATTAGCCAAGTGTGATCAGACACAGAAGGAATTTGTCTCCTGTGTATAAGCTCCCAGTGTACATATAAACAGCAAGTAGTAGGTCATATGTCATGAATCATAGTTACGATCATTAGCCATAAGTTACAAACAATTGATAAATCATAAGAAACCAATAGGAAAAGATAGTAGGAAAGATGAGAAAAGATGAAATATGGAAAAAAAGCTATTGTTATGTCCAGTTGTTTTGGCATACAATGCTCTACAGTGGTGTCCTGATGGGAGAAGTTGAAATAGATTATATCCTGGATGTGAGGGGTCTGTAGGTATTTTTTCAACCCTCTTTCTGATTCATGCAGTATACAGATCCTCAATGGAAAACAGACTAGTTGCAATTGTTTTTTCTGCAGTCCTAACTATTCATTGACATCTGCACCTGTCCTGTTTGGTTGCTGTGCCAAACCAGATAGTTACTGAGGTTATAAATGACTGACTCAATAATTCCTCTATAGAACTGTATCAACAGATCCTTGGGCAATCTGAGTTTTTTGACTTGACACAGGAAGAATTTTGTTTGTTGTGCCTTTTTAATAATGGTTCTAATGTTAGGTGTCCATGTCAAGGCCTTGGAGATAATAGAACCTAGAAATTTGAAGGTGTCTATTGTTGATACTGTGTCGCTTAATATTGCAAGAGGTGGTGGAACAGGAGAACTTCTTTTAAAATCTATCATCTCTACAGTTTTAAGAGTGTTCAGCTCCAGATTGTTCTGGCTGCATCACAGGT